ACAGAGTTTCAGGGATGGTAAAGGAGACTACAGATGTAGGTTCCAAAACCCCTGTATTCCCTGTAAATAGAAGTAGGAAGGAAGATTAAATATAGGTTAATACCTATAAGTTAGTCTTCATCTTATCTATTAGATTCCTGGTTAAAAAAAAAAAAAGGTTCTGATTGGGATTCCTCATTACCACTGAATTCTGATACCTTCCAAGGTCAAGCAGGGTAGCAAGCTGGTGCTGGACACTGTACACGCCCTACCCAAATTCCCTTCTCCCTGTTTGATATGCTCAGCACCCAATTTCAGTGTGCTTTTCTGCTAGTTACTAGCACCTGTGACCTTCTTTGGTGGCTTTCTCTTGGGCTAATGGAGTTGCTTCACTTGTACATACCTCCCATGTACCCTGGGGGTTTTTTATGACCCTGGGAAGGCCCACGACCATGGGGCGAGAATATAAAAGCCCAGTTCCCTTGTCTCATGTTGAAATAAACTCTAGGTGTGATTTGCACTCCAGAGCTCCACCTTGGGATCGTGGCTAAGCTGTGACATTTCCTGACATTGAAGCTTTGTTTATTGGCTTCTTGCTCTGTCCTGCTTTCCCTATTTGTTGTGGTCTCCCTGTGGGAGCACTTTCCTTATAAATCACTTGCACAGGAATCCTCATATCAGGGACTGCTTCTGGGGAATCTGATCAAAGACTCTCAAGGCATCCCAAGGTCTATATTTGAGTGAAAGGGAAGGTGAATTTTACCACACACATGTAATGTTTCAGAATCTTACCCTATCCTACAAAATAGGCACTCATTTTTTTTTTTTTTTTTTTTTTCTGTAATGGATGATTATCTTGGTCTGGAGAACTAAGAAAACATACTTCTTCCACCTTTGCACTGCTCCTCCTGCTTCCACAACCATCAGTGCCTCAGGAGGCATTGTTGACGCTTGCTTAGCCAAGGGAAGTAAGAGGAGCTGCCTTTGCCTGTGCTCTAAATGCCTTGATCTTGAACACTCAAAGCTGTGCTTTTGTGCTTGAAAGGGTGTAGCCACCCACAGAGGGTGATTCAGCAAAACAGGTCTGCAGTGAGAACTTGGATCAAAAACATACTGGCATCTGCTTCTGATACTTACTGGGGTTTGAGAGGATCTCTACAATTTTATTCCAAAACTGATCGATCATATAGCACCATTTTTTGAGTTCTTTCGACTTGTTTGGCAGCATTTTCTTGTGCATTTTATCATTCAACCTTTGTAGCATACTTGTGAGATATTAACATCTCCATTTTATAATCAAGAAAGCTGAGGCTAATAGAAGTTATATTACCTGCCTAAGTTCACACTCGTAGTGACGAAGCTGGGTTTTGAGCCTACCTTGGTCTGGTTCTAACAGCGGTGTTCATAACTACCTCCAGAGTATGGCTCTGATATTGGCTCTTTTTTTTTCTAAAGTAATGAGGGAAAGATTTGTCAACATTTGCACAAGGCAGAAAACTATCTCATCTGGAAAGGTTTATATAGACATTTTTCTCTTCCAAGAGGAATAAGTAAATGTATAGGAAATTGAAATATATTAAATGAGCCTGACATGCTGCAATACGGATAATATTTTATATGGTGAAGTTTTCTCTAAGCTTAGCATTTCCTTATTATAAGGTCAATATGATGATTAATGGTTTATGTACAAGGTAGAAAACAATCATTTTCTTTGCAGTCATCTGGAGCGTATTGCATCTGGTTTAATTTATCTCTTATTTAGTTACCTGCTAGGGTTGTTCTTGGGTTTGAATTTTTGTTTTTCCTCCTCCTCTATACTGCCAGCCTTTTTTATGCCCTAGAACCAAGGCCAGGAAGACTATAGAACTATGTATTCATGTTTTATCCAGTTAATTCCCCCCCAGGATTGAAAAATGTGACTCTTCCTGAATATTAACAGTTTTTGCAAACTTAAAATGCAATATGAGAATACTTTTGGACTACAACCATCCATGAAATTAAAAGTGACAATATATCCTGTATTTAGATAAAGGATATGTGTTCATATTTTACCTTAAGCAGTAAAGGAAGACTCCAGGCTTCTTTTTGTAATTTTAAGATGTCAGTTTTCAGCAACAGAGAAAATACAAATTGAAAGTTGCTGGAAAAAAAAATGAATTTTCATTTTTATTTAGACCGAAGTCCAAAGTTCAAAGCAAAACTCTCTTCTCTAGGATTCGAATCTTGTTTACCCTGAATAGAATATGCCTTCTTGTTTGTTAGAAAATACACAGAAGTGTTCTAATTGTGAAACAGCACCAGACAAGTGGTATTTAGGAAAATAAAATACTAAGCATGGACTCACAAAGCCAGAAGAGACCCTGTGAGAACATCTTCCAACAGGAAATGGCCAACTAATTCAACTTATATGGATTGTTTTCTATTTTGGTAGGATTTATAAATCTATATTTTTCATCTTTTGCACTCATTCACATGATGTTTCAGTTAATGGAGCAAGGTCCTGAATCCTAAGAAGCCACCAGTACCTAACAAAACACCTGGTACAGATGCCATTCAATAGAACTTTCTAGAAGAAATAATTGGGTCAATGAATAAAAAATATAAAGTGATGAATAGAAAATTTATGATAGGGTTCTTACTGGTATGATTAAGTAATAAAATGGAAACAAATCATGGTCAAGTTCAATGTTTTACAAACTCTATTCATAGTATAGGTTTTCTTTTCCTTCTCAATGGGTAAGGTGACCATGTAATATATACTCCAAACAAGGACCCTTTTGAAAGGGAAAAGGGTGCTATTAATCATTATACCAAGATAACAGGACCACTCTGGACAAACTGTAACTAATGGTCACTCCCAATGAGGGATTAGGAGCAGGAAAAAAATATGTGTATAAACCTCTAAATTTAAAAACAAGGGAGTTTTAACTCACAAATGAAGATTTAGAGGGATTTCACTATGAGTACTTTTGATGTTCTTACCTCATCTTAGAATTATGGTAAAAATGAGCCAAATGACAAATAAAGACTTCTTTCTAACAATTAGGAAAGAAAGAGGAATTAAATTGTTATCAAAAGCTACAGGGAGAACTACAAAACACTGGTAAAATAAATCATAGAGGTCAAACACAAAAAATAGAAAAACATCTGCTCATGGATTGGAAGAATCAATACTGTTAAAATGACCATACTGCCCAAAGCAATATACAGATTTAATGTACCCCCTATCAAATTACCAGTGTCATTTTTCAAAGAATTAGAAAAAAAGCAATCCTAAAATTTACATAGAACCAAAAAAAGAGCCCAAACAGTCAAAGCAATCAAGCAAAAAGAACAAAGCTATAGGTATCACATTACCTGACATCTAATTATACTACAAGGCTATAGTAACCAAAACAGCATGGTACTGGTACAAAAATAGACACATAGATCAGTGAAACAGAATTGAGAACCCAGATATAAAGCAACATACCTATAATCAACTGATCTTTGCCAAGTCGACAAAAATATACACTAGGGAAAGGACATTATATTCAATAAATGGTGCTGGAAAAATTGGATAGCCATATGTAGAAGAATGAAACTGGACCCATATCTCTCAATACATACAAAAATTAGCTCAAAAGATGGATTAAAGACTTAGATGTAAGACCTGAAACTATAAAAATCCTACAAGAAAATCTAGGAAAAACGCTTCTGGACATTGCCCAAGTCAAAGAATTTATGACTAAGACCTCAAAAGCAAATGCAGCTAAAACAAAAATAGAAAAATGGGTTTTGATTAAACTAAAATGCTTCTGCACAGCAAAAAATAATCAATGGAGTAAACAGGCAACCTGCAGAATGAGAGAAATATATTTGCGAACCATGCTTCCAACAAAGGACTAATACCCAGAATATATGTGGAACTCCAAAAATCCAACAAGAAGAAAACCAAATAACCCCATTAAAAGTGGGCAAAGAATATGAACAGACATTTCTCAATAAAAAACATACAAGCAGCCAACAAATATATGAAAATGCTCAACATCACTTATCATCAGAGCAATGCAAATTTAAACCACACTGAGATCCCCTCTCACACCAGTCAGAATGGCTATTACTAAAAAGTCAAAAAAACAAGAGATGTTAGAGAGGATGCAGAGAAAAGGGAGCTCTCATACACTCTTGGTGGAAATGTAAATTAGTACAACATCTATGGAAAACAGAATGGAGATTTCTGAAAAGCTAAAAATAGAATTACCAAGATCCAGCAATCCTATTACTAGGTGTCTACCCAAAGAAAAATAAATTGTGATATCAAAAAAACACCTGCACTCCTATGTTTATCACAGCATTATCCACAATAGCAAAGTCATGGAATCAACCTAAGTGTCTATCAATGGATGGTTAGAAAAAGAAAATGTGGTGTATCTACACCATGGAATACCACATAGACATAAAAAGAAATCATGTCTTTCCCAGCAACATGGATAGCCCTAGAGGCAATTATCTTAAGTAACTCAGAAACAGAAAATCAAATACCACATGTTCTCACTTAGAAGTGGAAGCTAAATAATGGATACACATGGACATATAGAGGGAAACGATAGACACTTGGAACTCCAAAGTGGGGAAGGAGGGTGGTGAGGGTTGAAAAATTACCTATTAGGAACAAAGTTCACTATCCAGGTGATGGGTATCCTAAAAGCCCAGACTTAACCACTATGCAATATATCCATGTAACAAAAGTACATTTGTAGACCCTTAATCTATTTTAAAAATTACATTTCTTTAAGAAATTTGAATATGTACAATGTTACTAATAAACCAGGGTCCTGGCTGAATGATATCATCAAAATAAATCTTACATGCAAGGAAAAAAAAAAAAAAAAGCTAGGCCGAGAGATTCTGAGCCCTGTGATCCCGCCCCAACCCCACCAAGCCCCACCCTCCCCACCCCCCCTCTCCCCACCCTCCCCACCTCGCCTCTCCGCATGCTGCCTCTCCCCACCCTCTAACCCTGCATCTTCACTCACAACTTCTGTGACTATCTGCTCAACTGTCTCTCGCTTCTGGGACCAGCTAACAAGCTTTTGTGGTTAGCTCCTGGTTGCCCGCCAACCATGAGCACCCAGAGCCGCCAAAAGTATACCGCTGGGGTGGAGGCCGCTATTGACCGCCTGATCAACGTGCATCTGCAGGCCTCCTACACTTACCTCTCTCTGAGTTTCTATTTCGAAGGCGACGACATGGCTCTCAAAGGCGTGGGCCACTTCTTTCGCAAGCTGGCTGAAGAGAGATGCGAGAGCGCCAAGCATCTTTTGATGCAGAACCAGCGCAGCAGCTGCGGCCTCTTCCAAGGTGAGCAGAAGCTGCTCCGAGATGAGTGGAGTGGCAGCCTGGCCGCCATGGAAGCCGCCCTGGCCCTGCAGAACCTGAACCAGCCCTTTTTGGGTCTACATGCCCTGGGTTCTGCCAACACAGACCCCAATCTCTGTGATTTTCTGGAAAAGCACTTCCTAGACCGAGAAGTGAAACTCATCAAGAAGATGGGCGACTACTTGACCAACTGCCGCAGGTTGGCCAGCCCTCAGGCCAGCCTGGCAGAGTATCTCTTCAGAAGGCTCAAGGATGACTGGGAGCTTCCAGAGTCCAGCAACTTTTGAGGTGCCCCTCTGCATTCTTCTGGCTTCCAGATTTCGGCCTGAGCTTCTCAACATCCAGAAGTACTCACCAAGCCATGGACCACATGGAAACAATAAAAGGTTCTTTTTGCAAAATTTTAAAAAAAAAAAAAAAAGTGCTAGGCTGAGAGGGAAAAAAATGTTTGCAGAATAGCATGAAGGATCTGCAGTCTGTTTAATGCTCTAGAGTTTTTAAGAAATTGTTCTTTTGTGAGTCACGTGTGTATTTTAAGGATTGATAAAACTGCATTTTGTCTGTCAAGAAAAATACAGTTTCTTATTCACAAAATGTTGCATACAGTTTTAGTGGTTTAATAATTTCTCTGGGCCAGGCGTGGTGGCTCAAGCCTGTAATCCCAGCACTTTGGGAGGCCGAGACGGGCGGATCATGAGGTCAGGAGATCGAGACCATCCTGGCTAACACAGTGAAACCCCGTCTCTACTAAAAAATACAAAAGACTAGCCGGGCGAGGTAGCGGGCGCCTGTAGTCCCAGCTACTCCGGAGGCTGAGGCAGGAGAATGGCGTAAACCCGGGAGGCGGAGCTTGCAGTGAGCTGAGATCCGGCCACTGCACTCCAGCCTGGGCGACAGAGCCAGACTCCGTCTCAAAAAAAAAAAAAAAAAAAAAAAAAAAATTATTTCTCTGAGGCCATTCTGGGTACTGGATTGTTCTAACTGTTATTCTTGGTTTTGCCCAGCAGAGCAGAGAGGCGAGTATCTAGAATATATCATATTGTATCCACCCCAAACCCCTAAACTCATGATAAAATTTCTTTTCCTGATTTTTCAAGTTAATGCGATGCCATCTGCCTTTTCAGAGAAATGCAGTAAGAGCCCTGTGAAATTCATCTTTGCATCTCCCATTTGGTTGCTACAGAGAACACTGGCTGTTACATCACATGCTGACCTCTTTATGAAGCCTCTCAAGAGAAATTTCGTTCTGGTCTTAGTATTAGGAATACCAGTGCTTCACTTGGATAATTGGTTTGTTTTTGTTTTACAGACACTGTAAGTGATGTAACTAATTAAGTTTCCTTTTCTAGACTGCCTGCTAGAAAGCTTAGAGACAAATTTGTAGTCTACCCAGAGTAAATGAGTAGAATTGTATAAGCATTTTAGTATGAGCTTCATTCTTGTCCCATTAGTTATTCATTTCTGGGTGTGTGTTATGGATCCTTTGAAGCCACCTTAAACCTTCTCTGGAACAAGGCTGTGTTTAAGTAGATAAAGTAAATTTTTAAAATGCAGATTTAAAAAAATGGCTCTGTAGTTCATTTTAGAGAAAAGGGAAGACAATTTTAAGGAACACTAAGAGAGCCAAAGCGATTAGAATGGAGGTGGGTCAGACGGAGGTTAAATTATAGAAGCCAAGAGAGGAGAAGCACCAAAGAGTAGCATTTTATTTAAAATGTATTTCATTTTTCTGGCCAGTTATTTCCTCCTAAATCCATACATTTGTGTCCCACAGATAGTAATAGGTGTGTATTGTTTTCTTTGCACTTTGAAAAGCTGGAGTTACAACTTTTTCTCAAACCTCAAAAGTGAGAAGAAAAATTAATTCTTTTCCTACAGTTCCTTTGCTTCCTGAAGCAGGAAGACCAGAGGCATGCTATCCTTTCTTTTATCATGGAAGGGTTAGAGTCATAGGAAGAATATTTTGCAGAGATTGGGACAACTATTTTGCTTAGTTAAGGAGAAAACTGTATCTTCCTGTTTTCATGCAAAATATTTTGATAATAAAAAAGAATATACTGGCAACTGTTTCCCTAGAGAAGGTTTTTTTTCATTTGCTGGTTGTTGGCAGTAAGAGATGTACAGAAGCAGTTAACAATTGTCTTCAGATTTGGATTAAAAACTCATATCTCTGTACTTAAAATATGTACTTAAAGTTATTTTCAAATTAGCACACACATAAAAACACATAAATCTGACTGAGAAAAAAATCACCTAGTCCTGTGAGACCAATTGAAAGGCTGTAATTTGAGGTAAAATGTTTGTGAAGAAGGATGAGAAAATTTATTTCCAAATAATACACAGTATTTGTCAAACCATGAGTTATTATGCTTTTTAATGTCAAGAATGGGGCTGTAGAATAAAGCTTTATTAAAGTCTCCCAAGTAGGCTAAACTGTTCTTTGGTCATCAAATAATTCTTGGAAAACACTTACTTCCTAATGACTTAAGGTTCTCGGCAAATTTATTTGTGGAAGATGGGAATTTGATGACATTAAATTTCAAGAGATTAATTTGGAAACAAGTCCCACAGTGATTTCCTCTATGGATAAACGTGTTGACAAGTGTGTGTGTGTGTGTGTGTGTGTGTGTGTGTGACTGTGTGTGTGTGTGTGTGTGTGTGTGTGTGTGTGTGTGTGTGTGTGTGTACTTGCTCAGAGAATTATAATAATTCTTGTATGACCAAGTTCCTTATACCAGCCTTCAAGATTCTGCTTGGTCTACCCTGTATAATTTATTAATACCTTTTAAATTGAATTTTCTATTACTTTCCCATTGTTGAAGTTTTGGGGGTGCCAATTGCTCATCCTTCCTTTCATCCAAGAAGCCAGATTGGAATCAAGATAGCTTTGCTGATGGTAAAGCCAAATTGGGGAATGTGTGAGGGCTTCCTACTGCCACCGCCTGAATTAAACAAACCTCACGGAGACTCAGGGGAATACTGGCAGCCCAAGGGAAGTGGGGAGGGCTTGGCAGGCCCATTGCTTTGTCATTGCAGTGCCTCCGTGCCCTGACTAACAAGCACCAATAGTCACTGGGCTCTGAGAGTTCTTCATATTCACCCTACTACTTCTCATGGATTAGAAGTATGATAAAGGTCTCCTGCAAATGACTGCAAGATCTCTCTGCCGTAGACAAACTGCTCAGTTTGCTGGTCCCAGGATGTGTAAAGTTCCTTTGATTTCCCTCACCTGGAATGCTTTTCATAGCCTACTTCATTAAATCAAACCCAGCCTGCTTTTCAGCCTAGTTCCAATCTGCCTTCTGTGAAATTTTCCCTGACCAACTCAACCCAGTCATCTGGCATGGATTCACCTTGTTTGTTTGCTTGTTTGTTTGTTTTGTTCTCCAAATATTTATTGAGGTCCTACTATATACAAGACAATGTACTCAAAATAATGCTGTTAACAAGACAAAGAAGCTCCTTAACCTAACGAACATACAGTCTAGTGTTAAAGGCAAATACTAACCAGATAATTCCACAAATAAGCTATCATGAACTATGGTGAATTCTGTGAAAGAAAAGTTATGGGTAGCCATGAAAAGACCCCATCTGGGGGCCTGATATGGTCTCAAGACAATAGGCAAGGTCTCCATGGAAGAGACTTTGAGTTACATACTGAAGAATGAATAAGAGTTATGTACACAAGGGGTGGGGGTGGAGGAAGGATGGTGAGGAGCTGTCCAAGCAGAAGTAGCAGCATGTGCAAAGACCCCCAGGTAGGAGAGGGCACAGTGCATCTGAGGACCTGAAAGAAAACCAGAGTGGCTGACAGCAGAGAGCAAACAGGAGAGGGGCTCGAGATGAGGTGGGAGAAGGTATAGGTAAGGACTTTGGCCTTTATCCTAAGAGAAGTAGTGAGCTATTGGAGGTTTCTGAGCAGGGGACTGATATGATAAGATTTGTACTTTATAATCACTCAGAGTGCTCTGTGGAGAATGAACTAGAGAGGGCTGGAGAGGAAGTGGAAAGACTAACATGGAAGATAAAGGTATAGGGAGAGGAATAGAGAGAAAATAAGAGAATGGGAGCATGTAACCCTATGTTGGTTGAGAGGTAGTACAGTAGAGCATAAAAACAGTGGCTCTGAAACCAAACTGCCCAGCTTTGTGCCCTGGCTTTGCCACGTACTGTCTGACCTTAAGCAGATTACCTAAGTGTTCTCAGTTTCCTGATCTGCAAAACGGGGATAATACCTGTCTACTTCTTAGGTTATGTGAGAGTCAAATGATGAATATATATTTAAAAACTTAGAACAGTGCCCAGCACACAGTAACTTCTTATTAAATGTTGTGGCTACTCTGTTAAACACAAATTATGCCTAGAACCACAGAATGGTTTTTCTCACTAACCAAAACAAAAACAAAACATTCTTCTGCTTGATGATGGGCATTCAAACTGTTTTATTTATGTATTTGTTAACTTATTAATTTCTTAGAGATGAAGTCTCACTATGTTTCCCAGGCTACATGCAAACTCCTGGGCTCAAGCAATCCTCCTGTCTCAGCCTCCCAAGCAGCTGGGACTACAGGAATGTGCACCATACCTATGCTCAAACTTGTTTAATAACAGTGATATTGCAGGAGAGTCCACGAAATGGACAACAATGGCCTTGAAGGAAATACAGATCTCAGAAGGGTATTTTTAACAGAAATGCCCTTGAAGGAAGCACATGTCATTCCTGGGAAATTTATGGTTGGCTTCACCACCAGCCTGCTTTCTTCATTGTGGCTCCCCCTCTTTGCCCTTCTTAAGCCATTGCTCTGCCTGGTTTTAAGCACGGACTCAGTCAACACTGGGTTCTGAATATTTTCTGGGGGACAAAGAAGTCCATGCATCAACCATAGGCTTCATTCCAGGACTGGCCCCGTGATATTTCATGTCTTGTAGTTTGTCAGGTCACTAAGAGGTAAGAACAATGCCTATAAGCCAATAACCCAGCCTGATGTTCTGGAATTAGGTCACAATGAGGGATACTTGGACTACTATGTGCCAAACACCTGTTCTAAGCCATTCTCAACATTCCTGACTATAGATGCAACCTCCTAGTGATTCTGGTTTTACATCTATGGGACTGTGTGATCACGAGCGAAAAAGCTCTTGTGTACCTGAAGACCAGGGTAGCCTATAAACCTAGAACTAGCTCAGGACAAAGGAGAGATCTCACCAGCCCAAAGAAAGCACCAGAAGGTCAAATAGCTGGGAAAACCTGGGCAGGGGAGGACCTCTCCAGAAAAAGTAGGCTGCTGGACCACACGGCCACAGAGACACAATGAGAAAACAGACAAGCGCCCTACTCAAGATCACAAGGACAACAGTTTTTCACTGAGAACTGGGGTAGGAGTAGGAAAATTGGCAATAGGCCAGTTGTCCCTAGAATAAATCAGGTAGATTGTGCTCCAGAGAGGGCAGAGCTGGTGGTGCTGTTCTTCAGGGCAGTACAGCCTCTTTCTGTCACACCTTACTTGGCCAGGGCCAAGTTTGTAGACTACAGCTGCTGGGTCTCCTGGCAGATGTTCTGCTCCACTGTGCCACACTCAGCTACGAATGCCTGAACTTTTTTTTTTTTTTTTTTTTACTAAACCTTTCCTTTTTGATCTATTGTCTTTCAAATTTTCTGGCAGGATCAGTGTGTCGATCTC